ATTATATAAACACATTTCTTAACTACTTGTACACTTAGTCAAGTAAGATAACTTGTTAACCAAAGGTCTAACTTGTTACATTACAATGTAAACAAATTTAAAAAGAAATTGAATTTTGTAAATATAAGATAGTTAACTATTTTTTACTATTAATTATATTTTTACTTTTATTTTTTATTTTTTTAGATCATCTTTTATCTAAAGTTTTACTTTGAATTAACTACATTACATTAAAATATACTGAGAGGTAATAAGAAGTATATCTGTAATAATTATAAATATTCTTTTTAAAGCTTAGACAAACAATTGATAATGCTTTTAATTCTATTTTAATAAAGAAAATTCAGTTTTTTACTAGATTATCTTTTAGATAAATAGATGCTTATCAGCATGGTTTAATAAGAAAAGCTGTTAAATATATAATTAAACAGTATAAGAAACATTATACAATCAATAATAAAATTATAAATCTAATTAATACAATTTAAGTTTAGAGTTTAAAACAACTTTTTTTTGTCCTGTTTAAATAATTAATAAATTGCAAAAATTGCTGATAAATAAATATCATGTTATCCACTCTTTAATTAAAATATTAAAAATTAAAGATAATATTAAGTATTGCAAGTAAAACTATATTAATAATAATTTATTTTTTGCAAATTAATGATTTAAGAATATATTTAAAAATTCTATACACTAATTAAATTTGCAAAATTAGTTGCAACATAAAATTAAAAAAAAATTTAAATAATTTTATTTAATGCTAGTTGTACTGTACTGCATTAAAATTTTAAAGTTTTAAAAAATCATGAGTAATTCAAAATTTTAGTTATAAAACCTGCTTTTAGACTCTTAATTCTGCTTAATTAATTAAATTTTAAGATTAATATGCAATAAAAAAAGTTAAAATTTTTTTAAAAATCAAAAATAAATCAAAATTTTGGTTATAAAACCTGCTTTTAGGCTTTAATTTTGTGCAACTAAAGTTAAAAATTAAATACAATAAAAAAAGTTAGTTTTTTAAAAATCACAAATAACAGATTTTGGTTATAAAACTAGTTTTTATATTTTTAATTAAAACAATTCTTTGCAAATTTGGTATATTTTATATAATTAGATTAGATATATTATACTGTCTTTATTTAAATTTGGTACTTTTATACAAAAAGTAGATGTTTTATATTGTCTTTATCTTAATTTGACACTTTTAAAAATAGTTAATATCTTATGCTGTCCTGTACTATATAATATTTGTTTTTAGCTCAGTTTTTAGAATTAATAGCTTTGTTTATTTTACTAACAATTAATTTGTTAATACTTTATTTTACTGACAATTAATTCACTAACAAGTTATTTTACCAATAATTAATTTATTTTACTAACAGTTTATTTTATTAATATTCTTCTTTACAGATAAAGTAATTTTGATTATTGTCATTAGAAATTTGCTGAATAAATATATTATTGTTTATTACATGTCTAATAATTATATAATATAAATATAATTATAGTTAAAACAGATTTATTTATCTGAAAGATTAATAAATCTGAATTTTACTAAATTAAATTCTAGTTATTTATTGCTATGTATCTAGAGTTGTTAATGAAGCACTTCGTTAATACCATTTTAATAGTAATACTCCAGAGTACTCCGGAGTATTTACTATTAAAATAATGCAAACGGAGTGCTCCATTAACAACCCTATATGTATCATGCAATTAATGAAGCTAATTTTTTTTATATACTATAAAAGGATATTATTCAGATAGTAAGAAATATAATTTGGTACCTTTGCTTTAATTTGGCCCAATATAAATTGATGATCTTACTGTATTTCTATTGGCTAAAAAAAAAAAAAAAAAAAAAAAAAAAAAAAAAAAATTTATAGTTTTCAATTTTTGGACCCGGCCGGGTTATGTAAACCAAAAAATTTTTTTTGTATGGCCTAATCTAAAATTAAATACTATTACACAACTTTTAAATTAAAAGAAGTTGGTTTATTATTATATACTATTTTATTACACTTTATAAAATTTGTTTAAATACTTACAGTAATATCTTAAAAAAGTAATCAAATAATAATTGCAAAAACATATTGTTTACAATTTATGACTGTTATATATTTCGGTTTTTTTGGTCTTGTCTCAAACATTTAATAACTTCAATTTTTGACATATCAAAAAAATGGGTGAAAATTAAAATTTAAACATTAAGAGCTAGAAAATTGGTTTAATAAAATTTTGGATTAGACATTTTTTTAAAACTCACAACTGTTCCCGTGTACAATACTAATTTAAAGAATAGTATTAAGTATAATCTAAAAATAGATAAAAGTATCTACAATATGTACGTATGTATAATTACAGAATTATGCGTATATATATATTAAAATAGTATAGTGATAATTTAAGATAATTGACAATTATAAAATTATAAATTGTTAACACAGTAGAAACGGTAAGAAATTTTAATTGTAAATTTTTAATTGTAAAAACTTTTGGCTAATTTTAGACTAAAACTTTGAACAATCAAGTTGAATAATATTTATGATTACAAATAATATTAACAAATTATCGTAACCGTTAAGATGAAATGTTTATCTCTTGGCAGTTAAAAAGTCCGGAACGATTTAGAGAGTTTGGTGCGTGACTTAAGTGAGCAGAAAATCAATTAACCAAATTAATTTCAGCATTTGATGCATAAGCTCCTTTATTTAGTATAAGCTAAAAGCCGCATTCTTTGATTTGTCGAGAAAACTTTTATTGTATTATTATTGTATGTATTCAATATAATTTTTAACACGAGAGTACACGAGAGAATATTAGGTCCAAATTAGGAATGTTATAACATAACACAAATTGTTGCATATATTAAATAAATAAACACAGAATTATTAGAATTATTATTGTTATTTATTATTGCATATCTATTTTAAATATGTCTGTCATCTCCTCAATCTGTTCAAATATATTAATCGTGATTTGTCTAGCAGTATCTTGCTTTAACTCGCATATATTTACTAATTCAAACCGAGTTTTATTTAGAAGTAATTTTTTATTAAAAAAAAAATAAAATAAAATAAATAATGGTAAAATATAATATTTTACTTCGTGCTCCGGCTAATTCGTCTTCGAAAGATTCCAAAGACTTTTCAAGATAATCAAGATCCTGATTTATATGAAGTTGGGATTCTTGAATTTTTTCTAAGGCTATAATAATTTAAAGTATGAGAATTGATCAAAAACAAATATAGAAACATAACAAATACCACGTAAATCCTTACATGTTTCAATCGTTTCCAAACGGTGCTGTAATACAAAAACGAATATATAATAATAAAATAATAATAAAATAATAATAAAATAATAATCACAAAAGTTATTAATAATGCTCACATTCATTTCCTGAGGGTCAGATGCGCAGTCAGTTGACGGTTGGGATAACTGAGAAGATTCTTTACTAAAAGCTTGTGATAAAGGCAATGTATTTGATGTACGTCGTTTGCACCATTCAGCTAATTTTTCAGGAGTAAGTTTCAAAGTATTAACGTTGAAGTTGAAATTCTTTGATGCATTCGTAAAAGACATTATCACACAAAGTATACAAAGCGGATAAAGCGGATAAAGTAGACAAGGGTGGCAGGGACCAGCAAACATTTATATTATTTCCAAATTTCTATAAATTTTTGCCGGTCCCTGAGACAAAATCGTAATAAGGAATAAGAAGTTAATAATCGTCATCACTCGTGTATATTAGATATCATGTATTGTATATCGCAGTGACTTCATACGTGAATCGTTTTGATAATTTGTTTAAGAATGCTATTTTCGAAAATGCTCTAATGCTAATACAATTGAGTAACAGTCTTTGCCTTCTTTGTGATCAAACAGACCAATCAAACCATTTTTTCTTTGTATGTCAAACATCATTTGGACTTCTCCATGACAAAAAAAATGTGGGGTCACGAAATTTAGTAAACAAGGTTAAAAGAATCTGAATTCAAATAGTGATGCAAATTATCACCATAATTAGAATAAGTCTTATACACGAGAAACACAAGCAATATAATTTTTACGTCCTATTATGCAGTTCTGTGTAATTTTGAAATTGCAATAATGGTAACAAAGCAATTGACGATTTTGTTTCTGTATTTTTTTATCTCTACAAACAAAAGGAAGGCTCTGCCTTCTATCTTATCCTTCACTTCAATCTTATCCTTTTGACTCTTCGCTTTCCTTTTTTCGCTTAGCCGCTCTTTCTGGCTTTTACTTGTACAGTTTTATTTGATACTTCGTAACTATTTACGATCTTACCTTCTAGCGTTTTTCTTTCTTTTTTTATTAGTCCGGCGGGCCGTCACTAAATATTTTCCCATTTATTAAACAATTTACTTTTCACTTGGCTGCATTTAAATGAACTTTAAAATTTTATATATATCTTTATATAATAGACTTTATATATAGAAAAAGTTAGGTTCATTTCATACCCGGCGTTTTCGACTTGTATTATAACCCCGTGTTTAAATTACCCCTCCTACATACTTTTAAATGGGTTCTGGCTGTTGTAAAGAAGAGGAAATAGATTTCGATGCTGAAGGTAAATAAGCCTTAAATAAGAATACATTTAAAAAAAAAATAAAGTTTTTAATATAACTTTTTTTAAAAAAAAACATAACTTTATTATTATCAATATAATTATCATGATTATTAACCTTTTTTTTTTGGATTAATTTATGCATAAATGCAGTCGAGCTATCGCATTTTCATTTGTTAAGGTCTGTAGGAAAGGGTGCATTCGGAAAGGTATTTAATAATAGTAGTTTGGTTGTTGATCCTATTTATCTTAATTTCTTAATTTATTAAATATCTAACCACCTATTTTTCCTATCTTTTTTCTATCTTCTTTTTATCTTTTTTCTATCTAGGTTCGAGTAGTGCAGCACAAGAAATCAAAAACTATATATGCACTTAAATATATCAATAAAGCAAAATGTATAAAAATGCGTGCAGTGGAAAATATTATACAGGAACGCCGTTTGCTAGAAGAAATTGAATATCCTCTAGTATGCAATTTGCGTTACGCTTTTCAAGATGATGAAAATCTATTCATGGTCCTTGACTTGATGTTAGGTGGTGATTTAAGGTTTCATTTGGAACGACAAGCTTGCATGAGAGAGGATGTAGTAAAGTTTTATGTTGCTGAAGTTAGTTTGGGATTGAATTATTTACATTCTAAAAAGATTGTTCATAGGTAATTATTATCTTTTAAATTTATCACCCTTTTATATAATAATATAATATCAAACTTTTTTTTTTTGTCTCATTATGTAGGGATTTAAAACCTGATAACGTTCTTTTGGATGAAAAGGGGCATGCTCATTTAACCGACTTTAATATAGCTGTTCATTTCAATGAAAGAAAGCCTCTTACATCGGTTGCTGGTTCTATGGCATATATGGGTATGTGCTTCATATCGTAATATATTATTATAATCCTGCCTCATCAAAAAAGAAATAGATAACGCTTATTTCCACATAAAAATTTACCTGCAAAGTCACGTGCATGCATGTGTAATTCCATGCGTTTCCTAAAAAAATAAGTTTCAAAAAAATAAATATGATAATATTTATTTATTTATTTATTTATTATTTTAGCTCCAGAGGTACTGACAAAAAAAGGATACCTTGATTCAGTAGACTGGTGGTCACTCGGTGTTATTATGTATGAACTTTTATTTAGCAAGGTATAACTTAATTCTATTTACTTTAATTCCAAATAAGTTCATCATTATTATTATTTCTTTGTTTTTTAAATTATATATTAATTTTTTATATTAGCGACCGTTTCGTGGAAAATCGAACGCCCAATTAACACAAGCAATCCTTCATGAACCTCTTCAATTTCCTGATAATGTTTATGATCTAGTTTCTAGAGAATGTATTGATTGTTTAAAACGGGTACGTTAATAATATTTAGATTCATCTGATTCATGTACACTAAAAATTAATTTGTTTCATTTAAATTAAAAAGTTTTGTGAACGGGATATAAGCAAACGTCTTGGATGTGGTCCTAACGGTTTAGAAGATATTAAACGTCATCCATGGTTTAGAGATATAGAGTGGGATAAGCTTGATACAAAACAAGCTAAAGCTCCATTCATTCCAGATGTATGCCATATAATTTCTGTGTATATTTTATTTATTTTATATTTTATTATTATTATTATTATTCTAATTCGTTTTTATTTTTAGTCAAAACGTGCTAATTTTGATGCCACTCATGAGCTTGAGGAACTTCTTCTTGAAGATAATCCTCTCAAAGCTAAAAAACGTGCGAATCCCAATCAAGACCTTAGTGAACTTTCAAAAGAAATGAGAATGATGGAAGAAAAATTCTTAATATATGACTTTACTAAGATGGCTAGAAGAAGCTATTTTGTAAATCCACCAGAAAGATCAACTAGGCGAAGAAGCGAAAGAAGCAGTGGATCCACTACTGTCGATCGAATGATGAATAATTATTCCGGTGCAACTATTCAACTTGATAATATTGACAGTACTGATACTTCAAATCTTACTTCAAATCTTCAACATCCATCAATGGTAAAACTACAACATGCACGTACTGAGTCGGATCTTACTGCTGTAGGATATTGCTAGGCATTAAACCATTAGACGGTCTTCCGTTTTATGTCCAAGTGACTTATTAAAAAAAAACACTATATAATATTATTAAATAATTATATAATAATTATTCTTAAATAATTTAATATAAAAAAAAAAAAAAATAATTGTACAATAAAAACTACGTATTTTTAAAGAGAAGATATAATATTATGAATTATTTAATAAATTATATGGAAAATTCCTTAAGCCTTCGTTTGATAGATACTGATTAATAATTTAAATTAGTATTAATTAAAATTTTCAACAAATTTAGTTTTGTATGTACGTAATTAAAGATATATATATAGATTCAATATTTATAAACTACGTATAATATATTATCTCAAATTATTTATTTCCAGAAAAATTTTTCTATAATACGTATAAATTTTACGTACGTATATAATTATGAACTGTGTTCATCCCCCGTGTTGAACATTAAGCGAGGCGAGTCGCTCATTACATATAAATTTTGGATTATTTTGTGCACATATTATTTATCTTTACGTGCGGAAAAATTTTTCCGCCCCTTCTGCACATTAACTGTTCATCCTTAGTGCGATGTATTATTACCCCTGATCGACCGATTAAATGCAGGATCAGCCCTTTTAAAAATATCATTTAGCGTTAGAATTTTTCCTGTAAAACTGCCTTTTTCACCATAAAAAAAATTTCTTAAAAAATATTGGTTAAAGTCTTAATTATTACCTTGCTTGAATTTAATCTAACCTTAACCAAGCTGCTATTTATTTAATAATTTTTTCTTTTTTTTAAAAAAAAAAATGGTTAATTTACTTTGAGGGTTATACTGGTTAGTGTTATCGGTATAAGCAGATCAGGAGTCGATTTTTCGGAAAATCGACTATTGGCTCTTGGACATATGGGCGGAAATTTTTAGTGGAGTGCTGTGACTATATAAAAT